TGATACTCGAGCAGCGCTCAGTGGGTTACGTGCCACTCAACGATCAGCCCGCGAGCCACGCTTGAGACTCCTGTCCGATACACCGTTGGTGTTTACCAAATCGGACATTCCAATGTCCAGCACGTTGACCGGCTCGGTCCAGTGCTCTTGCCAATCGCGCTTATGTCTCCTAGTAGAGGTGGGTTCATGACTTGCCAAAGCTCCACCAGGAGACGTGCGTGTAGCGTCCAAGGTCTTTGACCTCCAATCAATCCATGGCTCATGGTGTTCCAACCATACCGTTCCTAGGATGAGGTCAAACCTTGCATCCAAGTCCAGACTAGACTGCGTTCCACGCTATCAAAGTCAAGAAGCTTGACTCCGAGGCCAACTGGGACCTTTGGGACCGTGATACGTGTCTTCATCGCTAAGCAAAAAGTTACGATGTCACCCAACCGCGCTTTCAGCGCCTCAGAATACAGCTTGCTTCCATCCATCGTGAACAGACTGGCATAATTGCCCGACGCCCCGGAATCGATGAGGATTTCCATGGCTTCTTGAAGCCCTTTACGGTTGCCTCAATGACCAGCAAGTCCGGCTTGCATACACGTTCCGTGTTCAAGAGCACGAAGCTCTTCCGGGCTGGGCCCTGTTGACCTATGCCTCCCTGAGGCTCAACAGAACTCAGTTCTTCACCAGTAGGTCGCCCCGCGATTACTAAGTGGTGTCGTTTCCCCGCGACAAACCGAACTTGTAGGCGTTGGGGCGATGATTCGAAGAACCTTGACGCACCTTGCGCAGATGGCAACCGTTCCGCAGGTGACGGGTGCCTCCACAGACAAAACACCGTCGTGTGTTTGCGTGCTGCCCGGCAGATCGGAGCTCTTCTCCCTCGTCCTCAGCATAGCCGAGATCCATGGGGATAGGCGCTCGACGAGCTATTGGAGCGTGCATTCCAACCAAGTCGTGCTGACTTGAAATTGAATTCGGTATTCAATGCCACATTCACCACCTCTTCAAATGGGGACGGGTGCACACATGAGCCTTCCATTCTGGCCACGCCAGTGCGGCGGCTTTCCATAAACACGGTCACTGTGACCGCCTCCGGAAGGGGATCTGCTGCTATCACGGCAATGAGAGTGCGCACCTCTTGGACAAAGTCCACCAATTCCTTGTTGCCCTGTCGGGCGGCAAGGAAGCGCGATCGCACTCGATACGCCTGACTAGGCGGCGAGAACACTCGTGAGAGCTGTAATATCAGCTCCGCTCAGGAGGGAAACGCAGCTTCGACCGAAGTGCCGCACGTCAGTGCCCATTCTTGCGCTCAATCACCGAGCTTTGAGATGGCTGGCGCTACGCGCTGTTGCTTGGTCTGGAGCCAGGCGGGTGCGATGGTCATCTCGACATCTCTCACCCAGAGCAGGAGATTTTCTTCATCCTTCCCCTCAAAGACCTCAAAGCTCACCATGAGCGGCTTAGGTCGGGGGAAGTCATCCGTTACTGGCGATGGCGTCATA